CACTCACTCACTCACTCACTCACTCACTCACTCACTCACTCACTCACTCACTCACTCTCTCTCGCTCGCTCGCACGCACGCACGCACGCACGCACGCACGCACACACACACACACACACACACACACACACACACACACACACACACACACACACACACACACACACACACTCTCACTCACTCACACTCACTCACTCACTCACTCACTCACACACACACACACACACACACACAACGGAGTGTCACAGAAAGCAAGACTCAAAAACATGCTCAAAATGACACTGCATTTCCAGTATCTCTCATTACTCTCCTCTGGAAGTGTTTCATACAGGACTGGCAGAGCTTGTCCTGCTGGAGAGATCAGCATCTCCACAGAGCTTTCACCCCGTCTGAGCATCTCAACTGAAACGGCTCGAGTTCATGAATGCTTTGGAATAGTGTCTCCGGCTCCGGAAGTCATTTCTCCATTCTCTTCTCCCATAAGGTCTACAGTAACGCAAATTTACTGACCTATCATTTTTTTTCTCGTAATATACACTCACCGGCCACTTTATTAGGTACCCCATGCTAGTAACGGGTTGGACCCCCTTTTGCCTTCAGAACTGCCTCAATTCTTCGTGGCATAGATTCAACAAGGTGCTGGAAGCATTCCTCAGGGACTTTGGTCCATATTGACATGATGGCATCACACAGTTGCCGCAGATTTGTCGGCTGCACATCCATGATGCGAATCTCCCGTTCCACCACATCCCAAAGATGCTCTATTGGGTTGAGATCTGGTGACTGTGGAGGCCATTTTAGTACAGTGAACTCATTGTCATGTTCAAGAAACCAATTTGAAATGATTAGAGCTTTGTGACATGGTGGAAGTAGCCATCAGAGGATGGGTACATGGTGGCCATAAAGGGATGGACATGGTCAGAAAGAATGCTCAGGTAGGCCGTGGCATTTAAACGATGCCCAATTGGCACTAAGGGGCCTAAAGTGTGCCAGGAAAACATCCCCCACACCATTACACCACCACCACCAGCCTGCACAGTGGTAACAAGGCATGATGGTTCCATGTTCTCATTCTGTTTACGCCAAATTCTGACTCTAACATCTGAATGTCTCAACAGAAATCGAGACTCATCAGACCAGGCAACATTTTTCCAGTCTTCAACTGTTCAATTTTGGTGAGCTCTTGCAAATTGTAGCCTCTTTTTCCTATTTGTAGTGGAGATGAGTGGTACCCCGTGGAGTCTTCTGCTGTTGTAGCCCATCCGCCTCAAGGTTGTGCGTGTTGTGGCTTCACAAATGCTTTGCTGCATACCTCGGTTGTAACGAGTGGTTATTTCAGTCACTGTTGCCCTTCTATCAGCTCGAACCAGTCTGGCCATTCTCCTCTGACCTCTGGCATCAACAAGGCATTTCCGCCCACAGAACTGCCACTCACTGGATGTTTTTTCTTTTTCGGACCATTCTCTATAAACCCTAGAGATGGTTGTGCGTTAAAATCCCAGTAGATTAGCAGTTTCTGAAATACTCAGACCAGCCCTTCTGGCACCAACAATCATGCCACGTTCAAAGTCACTCAAATCAACTTTCTTCCCCATACTGATGCTTGGTTTGAACTGCAGGAGATTGTCTTGACCATGTCTACATGCCTAAATGCACTGAGTTGCCGCCATGTGATTGGCTGCTTAGAAATTAAGTGTTAACGAACAGTTGGACAGGTGTACCTAATAAAGTGGCCGGTGAGTGTATATATATTAAGAAAGACATAGCTGTAACCAAGTTTTGATCCTAAGTTGATATTACAAAATTGAGCCGCTAAAAGGATTTAATGCAACGTTTCCATTGTAAAGCAATGTCCATTTTCGAAACGGTCGTAACAGGACGCATTTTGGGTGTTTAAGCTTTCGAATTATACCAGTTTTATGATAATCCCTAATATGTGATGGGGGGAGGACATGGAGAGCACCACTGGGACACTGAGAGTTACCAGGCTGTGAAATGAACAAGATCATGCCGTAACCGTCCACAGGTTCACATAAGTCATGAGTCAGCGGTGGTGACGATGATGATGATGATGAAGAGGAGTGGAGGAGGAAGATACTGACGATGATGATAATGACGAAGAGGAGCGGAGGAGGAAGAGACTGACGATGATGATGATGATGAAGAGGAGCGGAGGTGGAAGATACTGACGATGATGATGATGATGAAGAGGAGCGGAGGAGGAAGATACTGACGATGATGATAATGATGAAGAGGAGCGGAGGAGGAAGAGACTGACGATGATGATGACGAAGAGGAGCGGAGGAGGAAGAGACTGACGATGATGATGATGATGAAGAGGAGCGGAGGAGGAAGAGACTGACGATGATGATGATGATGAAGAGGAGCGGAGGAGGAAGAGACTGACGATGATGATGACGAAGAGGAGCGGAGGAGGAAGAGACTGACGATGATGATGAAGAGGAGCGGAGGAGGAAGACACTGACCTTCACACTACACAGGTGTAGCAGCATTATGAGTCAGCAACTCACGCACATCAAACCCTGAGGAGAAGGTCAGGAGTCACTGAAACAGCACAACACACACCCTCTCACACACACTGAGGACGACGAGCTTTAGTGCCGTCTGTCTGTTTGAGCTACAGAGACCAGAGGGGGTTCAAATACTGTGATATTATGTTACACATATTTTACTTTCATATTGTTAATATGTAAAATGCAGGAATGCAATCAAAATCAATTCTGCATGTGTCAAAGCAAGACATCAGAAAACACATTCATTCGCAAACACAACAAAAGCAATATTCCAGATTACAGTAATGCAGTAATAATGTGGAAATCACACCATGTTAAAAGAGTGAATTACTGTCTTTTTGTGTTTAAGTTAATCAGGAAATACACTCGTGTGTTCAGGAGTTTGCGGTTGGTAAGATTTTTTAGTTTTTTAAAGTCTCTTCTGCTCATTAAGGCATGCGTTTATTTGATTAAAAAAATACAGTAAAAAAGTGGAAAAATGTAAATCATCTGTTTTCTATGTGAATATACAGTAAAGTGTAATTTATTCCTGTGATCAAAGCTGAATTTCAGCATCATTACTCCAGTCTTCAGTGTCACATGATCCTTCAGAAATCACTCTAATATGAGGATCTGATGCTCAAGAAACATTTATGATTATTATCAATGTTGGAAACAGTTCATATTTTTGAGGAAACTGTCAAATTTATTTTTTCTTTGATGAATAAAGTAAAAAAGAACAGCATTTATTAGTAATAGAGACATTATAAATGTCTTTACTGTCACTTTTGATCACTTTAATGCATGAAACGTTCATTTCTTTAGTGTACCTGTCCACACATTTTCATGAAAAAATGCGTTAAAGAACAAAATGCTTTACGATCAGTTTAGTTTTTATGATTATTTGTGATGCACTTTGAACATGTATTTCGTATTTAATTCTGGAATATTCTTTATTCCAAACACCTGTAAGTTAATCAAGTTAAACAACAGCAACATTATTCATGATTACACACATTACAGGAGCGTTTAAGAGGAATCTGTCATTGCTCTTTCTTTGCAGGTCCTAATAAAATCAATAATTTCAGTATTTCTAACACATTTCTTTAACATCCTCTATAAAACATGACCGAAAGATCACAGAAACTACAGCGTCTGCGATGGATGTTAACAAACTTACTGAAGAACACATTTATGGATTTGTAGAAATCATCGATCGCCAAACGCCATGAATTAGATTTTGATATGATGTGCGTCCGAGCAAATGCTCTCAACATTACGTAAGCTACAGCTAACACGAGTGTTTTCTACAGGCCTTAAGTGCATTACGCCTCGTCTGATGTTCTTCAGTGCTGTAATGATGTGGACTTTCATCAGCATTGATCTTTCTGAGAACACACTCACTGTATGGAGGAAGAATGAAACTATCCTTCACTAATGCTCTGCTGAAACGCACACCAGCACAGGTCCCATAGCACTGCGGGAGGAAGAGTGTGTGAGGATGGGGAGTGTGTAGATAAATAACTCATACTGAAAAACAATTGGTGCACACACATTTTTCACTCAAAAATTCACTCAAAAACAATGAAAAAAAAAAAACTGAAATAGTATTTTAAATAGACAGGTTGTAACCAGAGCCCGTCTACGGAGAGCCTGGCCACTCCCTATTAAGTCCTATTGTACCGAATGTTGGTTGTAGTTCCACCAGAGTTCCACTGGGGGCGATCGCCTGAGTGTAAACAGAATGCAGACTGATCTCATGAAATGGCGTATGTATGACACGCCAATTCGTATTTCCATTTTTGGCGTGCTATCAACACGCATAATCGCTTTTCAGCGTGTTTTCCAACGCCTTTGACTTAACGTTATATTACTGTATTATGTATATATAGATATATGACCTACCCCAACCCCGTCCCTAAACCTACCCGTCACTGGGGTTAATACCATTTATGAGTGTTCTCCTACCATCCTAGGAAAAGAAATATCGCTCCACAGATGTAGATATAGATTTTGCTTCGTTTCGCTCGGACATTTAACGGCGTACACATACACGCAAAAGATTTCGGCGTGGACATACACGCGGATAGCTCAAAATGCGTATAGATAACACGCCACTTGAATTGAAAGTGGCGTGTATGTTTACGCAAAGTCATGATGTCATGTTGCAGAATGGGAGTCTATGGAGCTAGACGGCTAAATTTGTCTCTTTCACCCGATTGCCGTTGAGAAATCTCAGATTTGATTGTAGGTTTTGCAAGTTCAACATGGGTTATAGGTCGAAAGTTGAATGAACGAGTACTTATGTCCTTTCCATTTCTTACAGGTTGAGTTGTTGTGGCCCATAACACGCTAGCATTCTGCTAATGAACGCCGGTTGGTCAGTGAAGGACTGATTACGTCCAGAGACACCGCTTGATGGCATCGTGGCATCCGAACCAGAATGTTAAGAACTTTAGTTTTACAAAAACTCTTCTAGCTCGTGTGTTTACCTGTGTCGGCTGTCTCGAGAGAACAGAAAGTGCAGAGCGCGAACGCACCAGTGACTGAAGGATTGCCGTAAAGCAGTATCTCTGGTCGTACGATGTGTATGACGTCATTGACATTTTAAAAGACTTTTTGAAGCAAATAAGTGACTCTAAAAAATCTAACACCCAAAAATGTGTAATTTCTTTGCATCCAGGGAAGGACCAGCGTTCCGCGGGGGCCTGCTCTGCCAGGGGTCTGGCGACAGAGGGGGATGAGAGTGGTACAGTCCGGGGACGGCACACACTGTCATCCGGGAACTCTGTCATCCGAGACAGAGGGGGATGAGAGTGGTACAGTCCGGGGACGGCACACACTGTCATCCGGGAACTCTGTCATCCGAGACAGAGGGGGATGAGAGTGGTACAGTCCGGGAACGGCACACACTGTCATCCGAGACAGAGGGGGATGAGAGTGGTACAGTCCGGGAACGGCACACACTGTCATCCGAGACAGAGGGGCTTGAGAGTGGTACAGTCCGGGAACGGCACACACTGTCATCCAAGACAGAGGGGGACGAGAGAGACTGATGGCCATCCCTGAGCTGCCCGTCTCAGGAGCGCCGCTTAGCCTGGCGCGGGGCTGGAGAGGGCGGTGGCGCCTTCCTGCGGCTTCCTCCACGACCGGGCCCGGGTGAAGGCTGCTGCTTGGGCCGGGCGGGAGCGGCAGGAGGGCGCCCTTGGCGGCGAACAGACTGAGGGTTCTGCGCCGGCGGCTGGGTGGAGGCTGCAGAGGGCCGTCGGGGCAGAATATGCTTGATCGCCTCAGTCTGTTTCTGGGCGGCTGAGAACTGTTGGGCGAAGTCCTCAACCGCACCGCCGAAGAGGCCGGCCTGGGATATGGGGGTGTCGAGCAGCCGAGACCGCTCGGCATCCCGCAGATAAGCCAGGTTCAGCCACAGGTGTCGCTCCTGGACCACCGCAGTGGACATCACCAGACCCAGGGAGCGTGCGGTCACCTTGGTCGCCCGGAGAGCGAGGTCGGTGGCGGCGTGCAGCTCATTGAAGAGCCCTCTGTTCTACCCTCGTGCATGTCCCTGAGCATCTGGGCCTGGTAGACCTGCAGAGTGGCCATGGCATGCAGAGAGGCGGCTGCCTGTCCTGCGGCTCTATAGGATTTCGCCACCAGGGTAGACAAAAACCTACAGGCTTTGGACGGGTGCTTAGGATCGCCCCGAGAAGAAGCACTCTGAGGACAAGAGCGTTCAACCGGGGGGACCCCAGTGTACCCATGGGCAGCGGCCCCATCGAGGGGAGGAAAATCACGGGAAGCGATCGCGGGAAGACATGGGAGTTTTCCAGGATTTCGAGATCTCCTCATGCACGTCCGGGAAGAAAGGTATTGGGGTTGGACGCCGACGGGGATCGGCGGCCGCACCCAAAAACCAATCGTCCAGCCGCGAGCGCTCGGAACAGGGTGGAGGGTTCCACTCCAAACCGATGCTCGCGGCTACCCGGGAAAGCATGGCCGTCATCTCAGGATCCGGCTCAGCAAATGCCGTATGCACACCCGAAGGTGGGAGTGCTGCCGAGTCTTCACTTCCTGAAGAATCTTGTCCACCTTGTGATGCGGTCATATACATCTGATCTTCCTCTGTAGCGCCAAAGGAAACTCGCGGGGCATCCGAAGATGGGTCCGCGGGAATCCCCTGAGCACTAACGGGTAGCGTCACTGGAGGGGGAGGTGCGGGGCACGGACAGATAGTCGGCGCCTTGTTCCACACCGTCACCCTTAGGTCACCCTCGCCACCAGCAGAAGTACTAGCTCTCGAGGAGGGAGTAGATCGGGGTGTCTCAACCATAATGACGCGATGGTCATGTTCCCACAGAGAGAACATGAGTCATCCACGAGCGCTGCTCTAGCGTGATCAATGCCCAAACACGCAGAACAGCCATCGTGCCCATCAGAGTCAGAAATGAGTCTACCGCAACCAGAAGTGCACGGGCGAGGCATCTTTGAAAACTCTGCGGATGTTGAAGCGCCCAGGGAGAAACACACTCATTGGCAGACCACTGCACAGATCAGCAGGTAGTATGCACTCGCTGGAGAACGCCGTCACACCAACACCGGAGAGTCGCTCGTCTCGTAGCTGACAGTTGATCAGAAATGGCTTGTGGAGTGAAGAAAACTCTTTGCTCCGAAGCGAAAACATACCTGCATATTGCCGGCGTCCTCCTTTTATAACCCAAGGTGGGGCGGAGTTGTGCCATGCAAATTCCGCAGACCCATGGCATTTCTTTGCCATTGGCTCGTTTTGTATACTCAAAGTTGATAGGCTTTCTAAGCGAAACCCCATTCGTCGCCACGACGGAACTCGTAGTGACAACGAAAGGGAACTTATGCATCCACTTCTGGATTCACACATGTCTAAATTCGCATACATCTAAATTTTAAGTGCTATTTTTACCCAAAATGGGTTGATGTGCGCATTAGTAATCGACATAGCATTTATCACTGTATAGAATACTATAAATATGATTTTTTTTTCTGCCTCATTCTGTGATATGGAGCCACACCAGATCACAAAAGGAAGTTTTTACACTCGACTGATGCCATGAAGTGAGTTTGGAGTAAAAACATGTTATTAAATGTTCTCTTTTGTTGAAAACGCTCCTCATTACACGTTTGGAATGACGTTTGATGTTAAACGTTCTTCATGGAACCATCAAAGCCTGTATTTAAGAGTTTATGATTTCGGAGGGAAAACAGCAGCCCAAACATCAGGAGGCATTAGCAAAGCATTTCATTATTACTATTTAATGTTCTGAGAATGTTTTCCTAATGTTTCCGTTAAGTCATGAATGTTTTAAGAACGTTTCTAAGCACATTCTGGAAAACACTATTAGAAGAACTCTCCATTTTTGCATAAATCAAACATCCTCTCAACTCAATACTCGTGTTGTACTAAAAATATGTTGAACACTAAGTTACAGAGTTTAAACGTATTCCCTGACATAATAGACTGCAGTGCTGTGCAGGAGAAGGAATCCTCGTCGCCAACAAAGCAGAAAAAAAAATTTATTTAAAAGGAAACGTGAATGGCGAATTAAAAAAAAAACGAGGGTAAATATCGGGATAGCTTTTCCCAGGTGGAAAGAGCTAATGAAGGAGAAAGACTTTAAGGGACGCTGAAGTCCTGCTTTCTTCTCGACAGGTAAGTCAATGTTACTGTCTAAATTACAAGCTTTTTTTCATTGCTTGGTTGTGTAATTCATTATATAGGCAGCACCAGTAGAACATGTAATTAAACTCGATGAAGTGCTATTGGAAGACATGTTGTCATAGTTTCTTGGTACATAACGGCTACCGTTGCAACACACATTTGAAAAAGCGAGGCGCTAGAGAGCACTATTCGTTTGCACTGTAAAACCCAACAAGTTAAAGGAGTAGTTCACTTTTGAAAAAACTTTTGCTGATAATTTACTCACCCCCATGTCATCCAAGATGCCTATGTCTTTCTTTCCTCAGTCGAAAAGAAATTACGGTTTTTGATGAAAACATTCCAGGATTTTTCTCAATATAATGGACTTAAATGGGAACCATACAGTCCAAGGTCCAAAATACAGTTAATAACAGTTTCAGATGCCGCTTAAAATGTCTTTAAACGTCACCAGACGATGAATAAGGGTCTTATCATGCGAAACGATCGCTCATTTAAAAAATAAATAACAACGTTTAAGTTTTATAAGCTCACATGCTCGCCTTTCTCTGTTCTGTGTAACTCTCCTGTTCGAACTCGTTCATCAAAATGAACAAATCTTTTTCCGAGTCAATTCGTTCATTTCGGTCGTTAAATGAATCAAATGACTCGAAAAAAGATTTGTTCATTTTGAAACCTGGAATGTTTTCATCAAAAACCGTAATTTCTTTTCGACTGAGGAAAGAAAGACATAGGCATCTTGGATGACATGGGGGTCAGTAAATTATCAGCAAAAGTTTTTTCAAAAGTGAACTACTCCTTTAAGCCAACTCATTTCATTTGAGGAAACTGATTGCCTCAATTAATTTAAGTTTATAAAAAACAATAGTTATGAGTACTCTGAACTTATTTTAATCGAGTTCACTAAAACAATAATATTTCTTAAAACACAATTACACTTTACACGACATTTAATACTGTATATAGCTGAAACTTCACTTTATTGAGTAATAACAGTGTGCAAAATACAATTTCACAGCTAGATGGGAGGAATTCCTACACAGCGTACCTTTAAGGATCAGTTAAAGTTTGGGGTCAGTAATTTTAAAAGAAATTAATACTTTAATTCAGGATGTGTTCAATTGATAAAAGGTGATACTAAATTTTTCTATTTTAAATAAATACTGTTTGACTTTTTATTTAGCATTGATTCCTGAAAAAGGTATCACAGGTTCCAAAAAAAATATTAATCAGCACAACTGTTTCCAACATTAATAATAATTGAGCATCAAATCAGCATATTAGAATGGTTTTCTATATTTTTTATCAAATAAATGCAGGCTTGATGAGATACTTATTTTTTAAAAACATTAAAAATAGTTATGTGTCCTATATATATAAGAAAACAAATACTGCTTAATACATAATCAACAATATGTTTATTGGGGAATAAATCTGCCCAAATGTCATGAGAATAATCTCAGAATTTAAAATATACTTGACTATCTTTAAAATATATATGCACATTTCATATATTGTTATTATTATTTTGGGGTTGAGAAAGGTTTGAAAGAAACAGAGCAACAATAAATAATATATCAACATAAACGTTGACTGGCTGATTCAGTATTTACTTGCAAAACCAGAGACAATCCACGAGGGATTTGATTTGACAACAATACGTCCACAGAGGACGAGAGAATGTATTATTATGTTATTATTATGTTAAGTGTATCTTCACAAGCCTGCGTTGTCCTCTGCATCTGTGAGAAGAACACTGAAAACTACATGTATATTAGTGTATTAATAATAAAACATTTATTATAAAATGTGTTTTAATGTATTTTTTCAGCCATCTGTAAAACTACAGATCTATGAGAAACACAGAGAATTCACCAAAGATCAATACACTCCTCGTTATAATAATGAATTCTGACCATAAAATTCCTCTGTTTAAACCAGTGTGTGTGTGTGTGTGTGTGTGTGTGTTATTATTGGACTGCCACAGAACAATTAAAGAGCGCTGTGATATCAAACCGGGTCATGACGTCACGTGACAGAAGTGTGTGTGTTCAACTAACCCAGTGAAGCGTGACAGTAGTGTGTGTGTTTGTGTGTGTGCGTTCAACGAACCCAGTGAAGCGTGACAGCATATATAGGTCAACTCCACAACTCCATACGGAGAGCTTATGAAGTTATGATACGCTCCCTCTGGCACGCGTGTATTTCCCATTAGTAGACATCATGAGCTTTCAAAAAGACAAAGTATTTTCATTAGTTCAGGACACACTGCGCTCCTGTTCCTCACATCGAGTTTGATTTGGTCTCGAGAAAACAAACCAACAATAAACATTATGTAGCGTCATGCAATTACTGTAATAATAATATCTGCAATTTCCATCTACATATACAGTATATATATATACAATATTGTTATTATTATTGTTACAAATGTTATGTAATTTTAATAAAATTATATATAATAAATAAAAATAATATATATATATAAAATGTATATACATTATAAATAATATATATTTATACGTATATATACATTATTATTATTATTATTATTATTATTACAAATGTTATATAATATTTTCCACTGCAGTTTTCTTTTAAGTTTGTAGCTTTATATCAAAACAAGAAGTCAATACCCACAATATCCACATTTCTGTACATGTTTGTGTGCCATTCTTTGAGGATGAAAAACATTAATACATAATAATAATAGTATTTAAATAACTATTTAAAATATATATATATATATATAATTGTTATTGTTATTATCATTATAATTATTATTTATTATTAACATTATTATTATGTTACAAATGTTATATAATGTTTTTTTTCCCCCCCCATTGCAGTTTTCTTTTAGGCAGTAGGTTAGATTATTTATTATAGTATTAGTATTTGTACACTATATGTGTATATACATATGTGTGTGTGTGTGTGTGTGTGTATATATATATATATATATATATATATATACTGTATATCCTGGTGGTGTTTGCATGCTGTACTATGAGAATGAAAGAATAATAATAATAGTTTCTTGTAGACTGTGGGTTAGTAATTATTAAATATAGGCCTAATTGTCTTAATGTAAAAACAAGTCGTCTGGTGTGTGTGCATGCAGATATTGGAGAATGTGTGTAAACATAAACACATTTACCGCATGTGTCCCGGAGTGCCAGAGTAAACACCAGCCTGACCTCACATCCAATAAAGGCCAAACCCACTGCATCATAAAGCTCATAAATCCCTCGCATAATCAACATCAGATCCATAACTCTGCCAGAGAGGAAACATATGAGGCGCTTCTCTTCTGACTGAGCGGCAGAATCATGAACTCTGGATGTGGATCAGGTCATGATAATGCAGTCCTGATACTATCCAGACTCAAACCCTCTTTAAAAATATATAGCCTTCATTATTGAAATAATTAGATATTAGTTTACCATTCCAGCACTTTTGAAGTAGTCTAATGCATGAATTATGACAAAAGCATATGATTGGGTCATGTGTGCATCATCAGGCCCACACATTTCACAGGAAACGTACAATAATTTGCACTGGATTCTTAAAAGCTGTATTTTGATCAAAATTGCACAAATAGTAGATGTAATGTTTAAAAATAAAAAAAGTAAATCAACATTAATTTGTGCAACAACATAAAAAAAAGTCACTCTGATCTAATACACTTCGTCATATCCAATAGAGTTAGTAAATATAACTCAATTACTGTCATATTTTACTAGCTTTATTGGGTCAGCTGGTGTATCTGCTGGCTTGGGGAAGACTGGGAACATCTCCATGCTTTAATGCTTCAGCATCACTGACTGAGGGAAGAGAGGGAAGCTCAATGACACCAGAGGAGAGAAACCCCACAGCACCAGCAGAACTCCCAATGGAATCAAACACACACACACACACACACACACACACACACACACACGCAACGAGAGATTGATCACACACATCTTTAAGCTACTGACGAGCGTCTGCAGAGCAGCGACTGGCTCGTAATGCACAGATATGACACACACACACACACACACACACACACACACACACACACACACACACACACACACACACACACACACACACACACACACACACACACGATAAAAAGCGAGCTGAAACACACCTACCGGTGACAGTGCGAGCTGGCTGTGAATCATCCTCCAACTAAAGCTGATCCTACATCCCAAACGCGATAATCCCGAGCAGAAACAGAAACATCCCGAGGAAACCCATCGAGACAGAGCGCGCGAGCAGCGTCACTCTCCCGCATCAGCACCGCGCGCAGCGACCAATCAGCGGCCGTCGTTCCCTCCTCGCGCTGCTGTGACTCCGCCTCCTGCCGGACTCCGCCCACAAACATCATCTCACAGCCAAGATGAGCCTTCAAGTCCAGAAAAAAAATGTTTTGTTTTTCAAACAACAATCTGCTATAACTTCAAAAAACAACAGCAATAGCTGTTATTAATAATAATAATAGGATGATACATGCACTAATAATCTGAATTTGAATTGAATTAGAATTTTTATTTTGAGGAATAAAGTGACATTAAACAAAGGCAATAAGAAGCATTTGATTTTTAACAACATAAATCAATCAATTGCTCGAAACGGAGTGGGAAGAAGTCGGACTTATTTAGACCCATCTGTGGTGAACTGTATGATGTAGCTATATGCTAATATTTCATATTATCCAATGATTCTTTTTAGTGAAACTAACTTGTATTTACAACATTTATTTATTTATTATTATTTTTTAAAACTGTTACTGCTGAACATTGCTTACATTTGTAACACCCAAGAAATTATATAATTTTGACTTTTTATGCATGATGACAGAAAGACAAATAAATACTAATCTCATTCAATTTTAGCACAGATTGTAGTGTTGACTGTTTTCATTAAGCTGCTATTATTGTAGGGAAAAACATAATTTGTAACATTTTTAAGGAACATTTATGGAAAATATACTCAGATTACAAAGCACCACTTGGTCCCAAACTATATTGGCCATTCTCAGTTTACACTATATTGCAACCGTGTGATCTATTGTGGGGTAGTTTTTATGTTTTAATTTAATAAAACGTGTCTGTTTAATTGTAAGTTTGTTCAAAGGTGCTCTATGAACTTGAAGCTCTCTATCGCCACCTGTGGTTGAAACATAATAGCGCATGTTATAGTTCTTCTACATCAGTGCTTCGGCGCGGAAGGATCTAACGGCTTGAGGAGTGGTTACCATGGTTACCGTGTATCATATCATATCAGAGCTGATCTGTCATGCTGCAGAATATGAATTTCCAACCAAGCTTATATTGACACGGGCTCTTTCTGTGTGTCGCATTTGCAGTTCAATGTCTCCTTTGCTTTCACAATGTTAATGCTAACCTGCCGATTACAGTTCAAATTATGCAACACTTATTGTAGCAAAAGCCAAATCCGCTCATCAACAATCACACACGTTATGCTGTCTGTACCACTGACCTATATAGAATGACATTATATCATTATGTCATTATATAGATCAGTGGTCTGTACATTATAGCCGTTCTTTACGGACATGACGTCGTAACTGATATTTCCCGCTAAAATTACCCGACAGCTCGATGATTTTTTTTTTTAATCTACCGTAGCACTCTCTCAAAAATGGAATTTCATTATTTTTCAAAACTTCACATCAGTGTTTTTAAAGCTTACGTACTTAAATGAAGGCCATTTTAAAGCGTTTTAGGGCTTTAGCACACTTCACATCGGCTAATGTGTTTAAATGGCAGCTGCTAAATATGTTACTTGTGTAGAGTTAAGTGCCGGAACAGCTCAGTGAATGTTATGCAATTATAAAACAGACTTTAATGGCATTTACTGACAGGAAAATGAGCTCAGTTAATGTTGATTATATAGAATATGCCTACAAGTTTGAAATATTAAATCTTGAGGAGAGCATCGGTCATAAATCTCATAAATCTCAATCTATAACTTTTGTCTCAACTGCCAGTCAGATGCAGTTTTATTTCATTCAGTGGGATATCTGAGGAATGAGGACATTTCCCAACCGCATGCCAAATTATATTGGCCACAGTTAGTTAGACACAAAATCCATTGACATTTATATGTAGCCTATACTGTATATTATTAATATTTCATGTATCAATCACTTAGACATTAATGGCTGTTTTGTTTATGTCTTTAGAAAATGAATGCTGAAAACTATCCCACGGGATTCTTTCAAAAATCAAAACGATTTATTCATTTAGGTATTCATAAAACAACAACATTTTTTTGTTGTTGGGCGTTATTTTAATAATCTTAATTAAATGTTTGGAGCTGCAGTGATTATTTGGACAGATGAAGATCTAACCTGTGAAGAAGAAATAAAGAGTTGGTGTTTTATTAAAAAGAGCAGCATTGACCTCTAGCGGCCATATCTGACTATTACAGTTTAACATAGAAAATACACATTTGTCAAATCTGTATTCTTGCTTTTATTTCTGTCATAGAAACACTTTAATAAATGCATAAACAGACAACAGAAAGATTACAGCTGAATTCTGGCTCAAATCAAAAGATCAGTCGAGCAACACTTTCCTTTATGAGATTTACCATTTTAATTATTCTTATTTGTTTTGATTATTTTAATTTCTTCTATGTAAAGCACTTTGAATTACCATTGTGTATGAAATGTGCTATATAAATAAACTTGCCTTGCCTTGCCTTGCCTTGCCTACCATTTTGAGTGCACAATACCAAATGTTTTACGCTACACACTTCACCATGAATCAGTAATTAATGTTCTGTCTGTAATATAGGGTACAGTGGGCCATTTAAGCTTGATTATACTGTGCTCAATGGGTTTACACTTTTTAACTAAATTAACTAAATTACATTTATCAAAAAGTGGCCCACATTCCATCTAATATGAAAGACAACCTTTTTAGTCAATAGACTTCATGCTTTGGAGATACATGCTTTTATGGCTATAGCTGGTAGAATTATAAGCAGGTATTTATATGAGTTTAATTTAAAGGTACAATATGTAAGAATTTTGTAATAAAATATCCAAAAATCACTTGCACAGTGTGATATATTTCCTGCAGTTGTGTACTTACAGTATCCCAAAAGTCTCCAAAGATTTTTTATTTCAGAGAAATTACAATTTCCGCTCGTACTGCCGTAACCATGACGACAGACGCGGACACCTGCGTAGTGCGTAACGTTTAGCGGCACGCAGTTCTCGTTTCTTTCAAACATAGACCATGGCAAGCAGACTTTGGGACAAACAAGGAGAACTAAAATGAGGATCAATATCAGCGTGGCGTTTTTGAGATGCCGAGAGCTAGCGTTCGCGGCTAACTCGGACTCGACAGAGCTTCACGAGTCGACAGCTTTATTAAACAGGTGAGCAAATGTACATAAAACAAATCAGTGTTATATAACGTTAGCTCAACATGATGAAATGTTAGAATATGGTCAGTATGTTATTCTAATGTTGATCTAGCTTACTGCTAGTTTCGTATAGCAAACAAATTAACACGTAGTATAACATTATAACTTTCAACACACATTTAAATGCCATTTAGTGTGATAGTGTAATGTTAGACCGAGTGAAGCAGCGCTGCGTTCCCTCACAAGTTTAATTCGTCTAATAAACTGACCTGTGTGAGTAATCCAGCACTCGCGGGTAGTTCGGTAGAATTAAATGTCCTTATTCCTTTATATCCACGGGACTCGTGTGTGATATCTGTCTCTTTAGCAATCGCGACCTGCTTCATACCACTGTAATGTTAAAAAACATGAATGTTTTCACTCATCCATAAACATTATTAGATCCATAAGTCCCATCATTCAGCTCATCACTGCGTCATCAACCTACGCCTTTGTTACTGTTGGAAACTGCGCCCTCTTGTGGCGAAAAAACCTACATATTGTGCCTTTAATATCTCAGTTTTTGGTCTCAGACAAGGGTACTTATGGTGAAACCCGCCTCATCCACTAGTTGGCGCAGTTTCGTTTTATTATCTTTGTCCTAACTGAACTAAGGCCTAATCCTGGCTCCATTTAAGACCTGTCTGTGAAACCAGGCCGATTCATTCTAAATGATTTATCGGTGCACATCATCATTATTGTGTTAACTTCATGTTCCTGGTAATGTTAAATCAGAATCAGTTCCTCTTGCAGCATCTCTTCTCTTCTCTGATGACGAACCTGTCACTCACATGAGATCAGCCAATCATCCAATCAGTTCCACACAGACACAATCAAGCCCCGCCCACATGTGTTCTGGTTCCAGAAGCGTTTCACTCGATATACGACACAAGAGAGGAGAAAAGACGAGAACAACTTCCCTTTCATGGTGACTTTGAAGAGAACGGCAACATGCGCTTAGAATAAACTGAATGTTATCATGCGTTGGTGTGGATATTTATAGTTATCCTTATTGCTGTGAACGAGCCTTTAGTGTCTGAGAGGTGAACCAAAACCAAAAAGATAATAACACATTATAACTTTCACAATGACTAAAATGATTTACTGTAGGCTGCATTATTAGTATGAATGTCTCAATTTGGTTCCTATAGTCTGAAAAGCATGCAGTCAACGGATAAAGGAAGACAGCACGACTGAAGGTGCATAAGCACTGACAGCAAGAGTGACAGCACCGTCGCCTGAGCAGAAACTGCGGCTGTGACTGTGTTCACTCCCTGCAGTCAAACACATACTGTGTCCTTACGAGCGACGCCAGATCCAGTCTGTCAGAGTCCGCTAGGGAGCAGTCTGGTTATTCACGACTCTTCCTCAATCTCTCCCAGTGTTTTCTCTCTCCTTCTCTTTCTCCCTCCCTCCGTACGTACATCATCATCTCCTTCTCCTCATCAGACTCGTTAGTAATGTTGTGTTTTCCACTAGTGCCACTGGACCAGAACAAACCCTGTTCTGCTCCTGTCTCGACGCCGTTACCGAATCATACACACACACACACACACACACACACACACACACACACACACACACACACACACACACACACACACACACACACATGTACCTGCGGGGTCAGAGTGTGACGTCATCAAGCGCGTAGTTTAAACAGCACATCGCGGTCCCTGTTGTGTGTGTGTGTGTGTGTGTGTGTGTGTGTGTGTGTGTGTGTGTGTGTGTGTGCGTGAAGCAGAAACCGAGCAAAGTGCTTATTCCTCTCACATCACAGAACAATGAAGCGACTTCAATAACAGCGAGCTTTCTTCGAGCGAACTTTAACTTGAAATGGAGAATCCTGTGAGTTTGAGGTTTTCTGAGGTTT